TCAATGATTCTTTTCATGCTCGCACGTAGGGAATGTCCGACAGTAGGCATCAAGAAAGAAGAGACAAAATGCTGAAGAGGCCCCCACTTAATTGTGGCTCAAGAGGGCAACTACGGACTCAATGAGTTATTTGCAAACTCAACAGCATGGTTTAATTTTTGCGAATAGCTCATTGGTCATTTTATATGTTGATTGTTTTATTATTTTGCTCGTCAATAATTTATAATGGTTTTTTTAAGAATGAAAGTTATTAATATAGTTTTCTTTCTGTTATAGGGGAACATCGTTGAAATTACCACCACCAACTATCAGAGATTTTTATTGCCAAAAATAAATCGAGTATTTAAAAAATGTGATTTTATAGAATACAATCCCATTCAGAATTCCCCTTCACTTTAATATCATATCATTTTTTAATTTCCAATTACACCACATCTTTCATTTTTCATTCTTCATTTCATTTGTAGAAACTAATTATTTTATAATATTTTTTAATATATTTTTTTCTTCTAGGTATTAGGAACATAATTTTTATTTTATTTTGTTTAAGGATATGATTAATTTTAATGCACTTGTAAGTGCATCGGGTTGCATAGTTATTTTTTATGTATCTTTTTTTTTTACAAGTACCATCTAATAATATGTATATTAAATTTTTATTATACCATATTTTAGGTACATTAAAAATTATTGAATATAAAATATTCGTACCTTGTAATTACATATATTGAAATTATTCTTAGGTGTGTAGGTTTTCAATAAAATCATAATTGTTACTTGAATTCTATTCGGGTTGCACTTTTTGTTTGTCATTTGGTTTTTTAGGGTTTTTAAACTTTCCTCCGTATTCTTGATAATAATCGTGCGGATTTTTTGAATGGTACTCTTATGGTGGGGCCCAAGAGTTAGATTCTTTCCTTTGAATTATATTCGGATGGTGGCATCTTTAGGATGCACATCCCTCTTGGGTCTTCAGAAGCAGTTACCTCCTCGTGGTTAGACTTGGGCAGTGGTATTTTACTTTCCATGTAATGTTTAATATATTTTTATATGCTATACATTCCATTGCAAGTGAAAAACCAGCCAAAGACCGCTTACCATAAACATTATAATTGTAATTAGTTTCTATGAAATTTTTCCAATTATCAAATTTTGTTTATTCCTTCCCTTGATTCCTTTTCATGTAACAAATTTATAGAAACTGATTACTTTATAATCTTTTTTTTATTAATAATTATTTTAATAATTATTTAAAATTTTATTTAATTATTTATTATTATACACCATAATTTGCGAGAGTTTGATCGATCCATTGTTTGTGTTGAGCAACGCTGGTATAAACAGCTGGTATGTTAGATTCACCACAACCAATACCCCATGACACTATACCAGCCTATAATAAATTATTATAAATTTTTTTTTAATACTAAAAATAGTTAAGTCTAAATACAAGCATAAATTTAATAAATCATTTACCTGAATAAATTGCCCAGTATTTGTTGGACAAACCAAAGGACCACCCCCATCACCACGACAAGTATCCTTATTGAGTTCACCACCAGCACAAATAAACGAACCATGTAATAAAAAATTTTGTCCCAAATTTGTGGTCCTTAAACGATTTTGACAATCGGATCGTTCAATTATCGGTAAATCTACCTTTCTTAATTCCGTTTGAAATTCACCAATTGTACCTTTAAATATCAATATTAATTATATTCATTTGAATCCTAATTATTATAAATAATATCAATATTTTACAACCCTCTCTCTACCCCCAGATTAGTCGTAAGAGTTGTTGAAATTCGTATTCAGAATTTTTGTTAAATATCGGTTTGACCATTAGATTATAATTCGGTTATTTATCTCATAAATTTGATTAATTAGGGAACAATGTTAATAAATTAGAATTTTTGTTTAAATACTTTGACAATTTTTTCAATAAAAATAAGGTAAAAATGTTTACCAAACGCGCTGCTACCCCATCCAGTTCCATAACACCGAGTACCAGCTGCAAAATTCATTCCTTGTTGTGGAAGACAAATTGGTATCACGTTAATTGCATAATTAACTGTCGAATTTAAAATCAGTATTGCTATGTCATGAAACAATCCAGCGCTATAATAAAGGGGATGAGGGATGATTGTTTTAATGTATGCTTCTTGAATCGATTCGTTTGTACTTTTAACGTTCCATTGTCCAAATCTGGCAACCAACACTCCACTTTCTCGACTATCAACAACAAAATATAATAACGTGATGACTAATCCGGCATCTGTGACGACACTTCGGCAAACTGGACTACCAAAGCGAAGGGGTTAATAAAAAAATTAATTTACTTGGTAACGCAATGTGCAGCAGTCAAAACAACCCTATTGTTGATCATGGAACCCCCACAGAGATACAAATATTTGCCATCGGGTTGTTTTATGAAAAGTGATACCATCCATGGAAATTCTGCGTAATATGTTTTTCCCGATGATACTGGATAAGGTGTTTCTAAAACAAAAATCAATTATTAGTTGAATAAAATCATATAACACTTGAATTTATTGAAAATTGTACCTGGTGCATAAGCAGTACCACGTATACCGCAAACAACTTGAATGGCAAGTGGATCTACCGGATCATTGACAACAAGATCACGTGGTCCTACTTCAGAATCTCGATTAATTCCAAGAATACCAGGTGGTCGACAACAAACTTCATCGGCAGCAGTACAAATGGTAAATCTTGGATCAATTATACCAGCACCATCGAGATTAACGATGTATCCTTCAGTACAAAGCCATGATTTGACACAGTAACAAGCATTGGTAGTACCAGGAAATTTCATTTGTCCAAGACCATTAACGATGACAGTTGTATCAATGTTGGTTATTGGTCCGGTTCCTTGGCAGCAATTATTTACGTTAGGACATGCTATTATTTGTGGTGAATTAATTAAATTCGTACCAGATGACATGACGAAATTAGCACCGTTAATACATTGCAATGTATTCCCACAAACGAAACAAATTTGTCTATTGGTGTTGTATGGTTGTAAAGTTGGGTTTATAATAGTTGGTATTACGTTGGATATTAATTTGCAACAAACTTGTCCTACACCTGGGCACAGGAGTGTCTGTTGACGTGGAACAATTACACCTTCACCAGATGAACCTATCACTACCACGTTTTGGGGATCACATTGCCAAGAATAAACACAAAAACAATTGATACCAGGTATTCCTGTTGGTAAAATTGTTATTGGAGCTGTTGGGAATATGATTGTAGGTGCTGTTGGGGTTGTAACTGTCGTTGGTGGACTTGTTGGACGTGGGGTAGTTGTGGTTGTTGTTGTGGTTGTAGTTGTTGGTGCTTTTGTTGTTGTAGTAGTTGTTGTTGTAGTAGTTGTTGTTGTTGTTGGTGCTTTTGTTGTTGTAGTAGTAGTTGTTGTTGGTGCTTTTGTTGTAGTCGTGGTTGATTGAGTTTGGGTGACGATATTGGCGTTTGGTAAATTGCAACAAATTTCCAAATCTCCTGTACATCTTCGATACCTAAAAACACAATTCAAATAAAATTTGAATTTTTATTTATTTTTCTTTTTATTGAGATGAAATCTTACCTGATATCAATTGTACCAGTACCATCGGTAATAACAGTCCTGTTAACGTCACACAAATAATATGGAACACAAATACAATCGGTGGTAGGTGGTGTGCTACTAATTCTTTCCAATTTTTGATATTTATATTTGTGCAGGTGAAAAAAGGACGGTGAAACGAATCCACGATCGATCGGATTTTTGTTTAATTTAATTGACGAATAAGTCGTACTGATATTTTTAAAAGTTCCCACGATCGTTGTTATCGATATCAATGAAATAATTTGAAATAAAAAATTATTACGAGACATGACAAGAAATCTATTTAGATCCTTTCTATTTGACAACTCAACTTTTATTGAATGAGATTTTTATTTCTGACACGAATTATCAATGTTTGTGTAATTTGTTTTATTTTTTTTTTCATTTTTTTTCTGAGGACAGGATATGAGTACTAGTACTTTCCGGTTTCATGGGGGAATATCCAGATTCAGATACGAAACTAATAGCTCGAGTTTGCTTTTGTTGTTACCCGAGTAAATTACTGGATCTAAAACGTAACTATAGTACGAACAATAGATGGCATAATTCTTATCTATACGTATTTGTTAATAAAATTATTTACTGACTAAACATCCCACCTCTCGTTTTCTATTTTATATAATTACTTTTTTTTTAAGTCAAGGTTTTCTAAAAATATCATTGGATGTATCATCGAATATTTTAATTCAATGTTTTAGATAAAAAGGACAAAGACTGAAATTATTTTTATTATATTAAATATTATAAATTATCGTGCAATTGATAATATAATTATTTTGTTTAAAATATAATATTTCATATTTTGCAATATTTTATTTTAAATATTTTTATTATTAGGTGGACCGGAGTGTAATGTCACTTTTTAACCTCAAAATTCAAACAAATTTTTATTATTAATCAATAATTAAATTAATTAATCACAAAGGTCATCAACAATCTTTTTCTATCTGATATCCAAATTTTTAATATCGTAACGATAAAAATCATCAATCGATTTTTTGATTTAAAATATTAGAAATAATTAGACATGCGTAGTAACGATGCCATTACTTTTCGGTCTACCTAATACATCAAAATTTATGAAATAAATTATTTCTCTTTCAATCTTTCGATTATTTAAAAATTATTCTTTCCAATGATATTTCTTAAAAAATGGTTTTGTTGAATTGTTAGGATGATTCGATGTATAAAATGGTCACAATGATTTATTAAGAAAAATATTAGAATCAACATGGCATGACGAGTGATGGTCTAGTGACCTATTTAAAACTAAACTTAACACGACCGTTCAAATGAATACTATTTAATTTCAAATTTAAATTATATGTATACAATGTATATTTCTTTTACATATATATATATATATATAAAAGACAAAAATCAGTACGCATGAAAGTTTGTCTCTGAATATCTTTTGAACGCTTAATTTAATCGCCAAAACATAAGACACCATTTTTATAGAGCAGTTAATTTCCTACAAAAATTTGTATTGTGCACTTTTTGATAGTCATTTATTGTCGAGTCATAAAATTCATAGGCAAAAATGAGATTTATCAAAAAATCATCAAATTTAAAGCATCAATATCATTCAAATGGTGAGGTTTACGGAAAAAATATAAGATACCTTTTTTGTAGAGCATTAAACTTCCTACAAAATTCTTTCAGAACATTTTTCTGTACAATCAATAAATAATGAGGTATGAATTTTAATCTATTAGACTGAAAAAAAAATAAAAATAAAAAACTGCGATGCGGAGGATCTTCCTATTAAAATTAAAAGCTCATATTGGATGAGAATTCTTTTAAGGTGTCTAGGAACCCATTTCTGCATGGCACTTGAAAAAAAAAAATAAGTCATTTTTTTGACCCACCCTAATATATATATATATATATATATATATATATATATAATTGATAATTGGTTAAATAGGATTTGACAGAAATATAATATACAATTTATATAATATTTTTATTCAATGTTACACAAAGTTTTATTTACAATTCAAAATTTCATTTTTAACAATATAGTATTATTTATAATATTTAGTAATATATAGAATAATAAAAGTAAACTAAATAAAAAAATATATATATATTCATATTTTATTAAAAAAATTATATTATTTAAAAAAAAATAATAATCATTCTTTTTAGACTATCATTAATACTAATGTAGTCTTGTGTAAACAAAATACATGTTTACTTTTTAAATTGTTTACCAGTCGAAATTCGTTTTAAATTCGAAAAACAATGTGTTGTAATCGAAGATCTATCATCGTAATTGGAATTCAATGTTCTTAAAAATAAACTTAAGGATATTGGTTTTGCAATATGATTAAAATTTGTTGAAGAAGTCCATTCTCTGTAACTTGAAGTTGAAGGTTTTGTGATGTAACTTGATGTTAAAGATTTGTCATCGTAGATTATTGAATTTGATGATGACTTCCTTTCGTCGTAATTTTTATTCGAAGTTATTTCATTGTAATTTGTCGTTTGTTTTATTATTCCACCATTTGTTTCAATTATTTTGGTTCCTAATTTTAGTGGACAGTGACTTGTTGTGTGTGCTATGTCCCCAGTTGCTCCACAAATAGGACAAACGTAGTGCCTTCATTTTGAAAAAATAAAAAAAAAATAAAATAAAAGAAGAATACACACAAATTAATAAAACACATTTGTAATTTAAATATATTAACAAATATAAAAAAAAGTAATAATGTAGGAATCTTTTTTACCGACCGATAAAAGACCAAAAAATTAGAAATTTAAATCGCTACAGTTTTATATCGTTAAATTAAGTATTTTAATATAAATCGATGAGTTAACAATTAATAATAACGTGTGTTAGCATTAACAATAAATTATAGAATAAAAAAATGGTAAAAAATCGATAAATACCTTAAAATGGGACATTGTACACGGCCATTGCTGTTTTTAAGTATATGCGATTTATAAAAAAATTCATGTTCACCATTATTTTTACAAAATACGCATACATTTTGTTCCGCTTTTTTATATTTTTTTGGTCGAAGTCTAAGACGCAGATGAATATTTGATGTTGATGATTTACCATTTGTGTTTTCTTCATCGGATTCAGAAATATATTCGTAATCAACGCCATTTTTACGAAATTCGTCCATTGAATTTGCTGAGTAAAAAAAAAAACAATTAACATAATTTAACATTAAAATTCTTCTTTTTTTTTTGTAAAATTAATGTTTGATTTTGATGAGAGAACAAACATATAGGAGAAAAAAATGTATACAGAATGTCTCATATAAATGTATTCACGATTTTTCAAGTAGTTGCGATAACCTAACAAAAAAAATACTTTAAACAATGGTTGAACTGTTTTTTATTGACTGTACATTGACATACATTGACACCCTGTATATAATTAAACTTTAATGAATTTTTATGAGTAATAAAATGAATGTTAACAGATTTAATGTAAACAACGTATAAAAAGACGTTCAAATCTACTTTTCAAAATATATTCGTTGTGTTTCTAATCTAAAAAGAAGATCTAAAGAAAAAGTGTGTTACAATAAAAAAAGAGTGAAGAAAAATATATATATGTAATTAAAATTATATTACCGACTGGTTTATATCGTTGACATTGATCACAATAATTAGATAACGAAGTATCATTCAAACATCTGCAAGCATTGCATTCTGAAATAAAAATAAATAAATAAATATTAAAATATTTTAATCAAAATAAATACAAACAAATAAATAAATAAATATATATATATATGTAGGAATCTTTTTTATCGACTGATGAGAAAAAAGAAAAAGAAATTAGAAATCTAAATCTCTACAGTTTTATATAGTTATATGTAATTATAATACAAAAATCGATGTGGGTTAACAATTAATAACAATGTGTTATTATTAAATTTGTTGTTATTAATTGTTGAAATTATTATTATTATTATTAGTTGGCATTAGGAACTTGAAAGTTCATTGCCGCAAATACCAAATCCCGCCAAATTGTTAAAATAATTAAAAAAAAATTATTTTCAATAAATTTTGATAATTAATTAATAAATATATGATTAAATCGTTAAAAATAAATCTGTTTTTATATTGAATAGAAATTGTTAAATGTTTTTTAAAAGTAAACATGATTTAGTGGTTTATGTGAGTATATTTTATTATTCATTTCTTCTTCTTCTTTTTCTTTTTTCTTCATTGGAAAGAATTTTTTCTCGACGACATATTCTATTTACATTTTTTAAGTGCAGGATAGATTATAACATTGAGAAATACGATACCTAAATATATATTTCGAGTTTATCGTTGGTAGAGCTTATGTTTTGTTTACAAACTGATCGAAGGTTGATTAACAGACGAGAATAAAAGAGAAATGTATATAATATACAATTCCTTTTACCAACAGAATAAAACGAGAATAAGGTATCTTATTGTTACATTTAAAAATATTAATAAAAAAAAAAAGATAGAGGCAAATGAAAAAAATTGTCCGGTAAAATAAATTAGACTTTAATTCCATGTTATCATCATCTTACTTTGTTGGTTATGTTCAATCAGAATTATTGAATGGGACGTGTAATCTGAGATTGACAAATAGAAAGAGAGAAAAATAATCAATTGTTTAGTGCATGCAATTGTATAGACGAAGTGTGACGTCATCGATAAAATGCGATTATCTTTCCCCCCTCCTACTTTTTTTTCTTTTTTTCTTTTTTCTTTCTCTCGATACTCATTTTATTTGATCTTGGTGGGGTTATGGCACTTTTGTATTATCAATTTTTGAAGTTTTAAATCTTATTTTTAAGATAACAATTTTTTTTCGTGTATAATTTGATTATTTTTATTTTATCTATAGAAAAATATCTTTGAAATAAGATACTCAAAGATGGAAAAATAACTTTGTCCTAAAAGAATAAAAAATTTCTAGAAATAATATTCTTTGATTACGTAGCCGCCATTTTTTTTTTGCAGGAAATAAAGAAAAAAATTATCGAGTAATAAGTCGTAAGAGAATTAACAAACCATTAAAAAATAAATTCAAAATTATATTTCGAAAGTAAATGAAAAAAAAGTTGTTATGTTTAAAATTAAATTAAAAAAAGTTAACCCCTTTGAATAAAATTAAAATTATGGTTTTTATATTGACATAATTTTCACTAATTGTAAAAATTATAAATGGTTTTAGTAAATATACAATTAAATTGCATATAGTTCTGTGTTATAAGAATAATTTATTATTTAATAGAAATTATTAATTATTTTATTCTTTAATTATTAATAATATATTTTTATTGGTTGTAAGTCACTTCCCACGTGACTAACGACCAATAAAAATTAAGTAAATGCAATTTCTGATTTGTTCTTTTTGTTTTTTTAGTTAACAAAGTAATACGAAGTTAAGTACAAATAAAAGGGAATAAACAGGGGGTAGAAAGGAGAGGAAAGCACATAGATATAAACTGTAATCAGAAACGAGATAAAAAGCATTCGCGGCAAAGGAATTTGCTGTTGTGTGTGTACTTGATCCTTTTTCTTTTGTTTTCTTTTTTTTTTTATTCTAAACATAAGACACATTAGCATAGTAGCAGTACACACACAACACACACAATCTTTTCAATCGTAGAATTATGATGTAATCGACGTAATTAATATATACGCGTGCATAAACATTAATATAATCCAACGATAAACAAAAAAAAGAATAAAAAGAAAAAGAAGATGAAGGACAAAAGTAAAAAATTAGGTTAAGTCAAATTGAAGTTTAAAAAAGTCAGCGTAAGAAAAGTAAGAAAACAAAAGTAAATTAATAAAAATAAAACACAAAGTTTCGTGTCCTATGATTGTTTAAGCAAATTTTATAGAACAAATGATTAAATAAAAATTATTTATAAATAATTTCTTACCTTTAATCTCAGGATTAATGATTTTAATTTGACTCGTTAAATCATCCGAAAATAATCTTCGTAATTCTTCGTCCAAACTCGAGTTTAAAGGATAATAACTGTTATCTGGTACTTTTAATATTGGTAATTTATCAAATAAAAAAAAGTTCAACTTCGGTTTATTGGACATCATGGTTAAAATTATCAAAAAATTTGATACAAAATTTCAATTTTAATTTCAATTAATTTCTTTTTTATTTTGTGTACGAATTTTTCGTAATCCCTCGTTTATATTATTTCCATGTATGTGTAACATGTGCGTGTAGGTGTTGTGTATGGTGCACGTGGTTGATCAACTTCCGTTTGTTTTTATTTTTTATTTTATTTATCACAGTTATTATTAGATTAGTTCTTTTTTTTTAAACGCAAGTGAGTTTTTAACAATTTAGATTTTGTATATGTGTGTGTGTGTGTTTTTGTAAATCCGAACTGATAGATTTTCGACGTGAACTTAAAGAGTATTTTTGATATACTAAAGAAGAAAGAAGGATGAGAAGTCCTGATAAATCGAGAGAAGAAAAATGTCTCTTAGTAGTGGGAGGAGAGGGGATGGACTTGAGGTAGAGATACGTCGTATGATTGGGCCTACAAATATGACGTAAGAAAAATAGTGGGGGAATTCAAACAAATGGTCCCCATTTGATGTTTCAATTTCAACGATTTTTCTTATTGTTTCTTTTCTTTTTTTGTTTCTTTCCTTCTTTTTTTTTTCTTTTCATATTTTCGATATATCCTTTTGATTTAGTTTGTTTTTTTAATTGTAAATTGTACTGAAAGAAAAAATACTATAAATAAAAAAAATATGGCATCGTACAATTGTGAGTGTCACGTATCAGTGATTTTTTTTCTTTTATTTCTTTCTCACAGTTGATAAAGAACAAAAAAAAATATGAAATATTATTTATTAAAAAAAAAAAGGGAACATAAAAAACAGAAATTATGGTGTAGCACGTGGAGGAGGTGAGGAAAGGATTTAAAAATAATGGAAGATAATCTAAAAAAAAAAAAGGAAAAAGAAATAAATGATGGAAATAAAAAAAAACTGAATTTGCACTAATCTTCATCTTTATTGTTACTGTGTAAATATGTAGGCACTGAACAAATAATGTTTCATAATTTGTTTATAAACATTTACATTTACTGATCTTTGTTGTTGTGTTGTTGCTGTTGTTGCATATAATAATTATTATTATTACTATAATTACTATTGGTATTTTGTTGTTTTTGTTGTAGTTGTATTATCCTTTCATCCTTTTTTTAGTTTTTATTTTTATTATTTTTTTTTCTGTATCATTTTCGCGTTTTTTTTATTTTTTAGTTTACTCTTTCTCCCTTCTTGTGGTTTAATCAATGAATGATTATTATTATTATTATTAATATTAATATTAATATTAATATTATTATTATTATTAATTAAAAAAAAAAATAAGGAACTTTTTGAAAAAAAATTATTTTAATTAATTTATAAAGCGACAGTATTTTACGGTCCACCTAAAATAGAATTAATTATCATAAACAAAAAACAAAACAAAATAAAATAATAATTAAAAGAAGTACCAAAATAGCGAAAAATATTTGTTAAGTATAAAAAAAAATGTGTTGACCATTCGTACGGACGTAAAAAAAAAAAAAAAACTTTTATAATAATGCGCGACATTGGTCTGAACTGGAAAAACGAGTAATCTCATGACCGATGCATAAATAATAATATTTAATAGTAATAATAATAATAATAATAAATAATAATAATAATATTAATGATAAATGCATTAATAAATGCCGCAAATGTAAAGAGAAGAAGAAGACAGGACAAGAGACTAGCCAATAGGCGAACGATACCAATCCCCGCTCCCGTAAATTTTCATGAAAAGTGGAGGAAGGATTTATCGCATCCATGAGACTAATTATATAAACAAAAATTAATTAAAATAAACAAAATAAAAATGAGCAAACTATTATATAGGAATATAAAAACATTAAATAAACGAAAGTGTGAGACCACGACGAGAAAAAGAACAAACAAAATGTTGAAAAACAAAATGGAACGAATGAGAATGAACGAAACAAGGAAAGGAAGCAAAAATGAAATGAATAAAATATCGATATCATATTTATGTGTCACGTTTCACATATATATAAATGAAAATGAAAAAGGAAAAAAAATTGAAAAACAAAAGAAACTCACACACACACACTATTAAGAAACGAGTAATGAATTAATAGTAAGTACCGGTCATCGTTTTATACACGAAAGAAAATAATAAAAATAATAATTATAATAATAAAAAAATACCTAATTAATTATAATAATAACAATAATAATAATAATATCTATTTACGTACACACATAAATATACTACTATGTACATTCCCAGTTATACACCCACTTCTTATCACTATTACTACTACTACTACTACTACTCTCTGTCATATTTTACACACAGTTAAGTTTATGATATAAATAATTATATATATATATATAAAACAACAAACAAGTTATTACCACCAACAATAAATCATCACCCCCAACAAATAAACAAAAACAGCAACAATAATTCAACACAATAGAAAAGGAAAGGAAAAAATGAAATGAATAAAAATGATAAAAAATAACTTTATAACAATTAAGCATGGACCTATTATTATACATGTATACATATACACATATAAATTAATATTAAATATAACAATAATACAGGGTTACCTGTTACAAAAAATAATATCAGGACCCTTAAAAAAAAAAACTTATACCACGCGTTAAAATAACCACTTACCTGACATGCCCGAGCGTAGCACGGTCATCGTAATCGTAAATATATATATTTATATTTTATGCAATATAATAATACATAAGAACTAGAATTTATGTTAATAAAAAATTATGAAAAAAGAAACAAAACGAAAATCCAATGTTTTTTACATTTTCTTTTTTAACAACAATGATTCAACCCTGACTCAATCCTAACTCATAGATTATTACGATTATCATTTCTATTTCATTCTTTTTTTTTTATATACTCACCCCCACACACACTCTATAACCCTAATTCACAGATCATTACGATTATCATTTCTGTTTCATTTTTTTTTCATGTACTCACCCTCATACAACACCATACACCCCCCCCCCACATACTTCAAATACCCCTACACCAATGTGAAAACTATTGCCGCCATTATAAGAGCCTATCACATTTAATTCATTTTGCAACCCCCATATTCACTATCACTAATCACACGAACATATATTTGAATGCATGTTCAATGTATATGATCGATATACTATTACTACTACTACTATTAATACTATTACTACAACTACTACTACTATTACTATTTACAAATACTATTAACTATTATTACTATGAGTAATTATTATTACGATTATTTAATTACATTATTAGTTTATCCGAAATATATGCATATTATCATTAAAATAAAATAAAATAAAATAAAATAATAATAATCATGGTTAATGAAAAAAATCAACTAGAATAGCTGGAACAATAATAATAATAGTAATAATAATAATAATAATAATAATAATAATAATAATAATAATAATAATAATAATAGTGATTAATAAAAAAGTATACATAAAAAATAAAAAGTAAGAAATACAAATAACAAAATACATTATATATATATATATATATATATATATATATAACATACACAAAATACAATTATGTATAAGCTACACATATTATATACATAAAAATATATATATATATATTAATATAATAAAATGAAAAAATAAAAATAAAACTTACAAAATCGAGCTCGCAAGTAAGAAAAAAGAAAACAAAAAATTTTTGAACGATGACTGATTGAAAAAAGAAAATGGCGAATACAAAAAAAACGATAGAAAAACACAGTGGGAGAATAATAATAATAATAAACAAAACAAACATTAAAGATAAGTAACAGTAACAATTTAAACGAGTTAACGAGAAGAAAATCTTAAAAATAAAGAAAAACAAACAAACAAATAATACCCATAACCTCAAAAGGTATTATTAAAGAGAGAAAGAGAGAAAGAGAGAAAGAGAGAAAGAGAGAAAGAGAGAGAGAGAGAGAGAGAGAGAAAATTCTGTTGTATACGTGGTTGATGATGATGGGGTGGTTTACGATATGTGCGTGTGCGTGTGTGTGTGTAAGAACGAAATGATGGAATAAAAGTAGAATTTTTGACTCATCTAATGGTCAACAACCCTTGCTAGCAGAGAATAATTAATAATAATAATAATAATAATAATAATAATAATAATAATAATAATAATAATAATAATAACAATAATAATATTAATATTAATATTAATATTAATAATAATAATAATAATCATTCATTGATTAAACCACAAGAAGGGAGAAAGAGTAAACTAAAAAA